GCATTGGTTACTAGTCGGGCCCCACCCAGGGGCCTAGGACGTCGTAACGTATTTTCGTAATATACGTGCAGATCCAAGCAGTGCGGCTTTTTGCAGTTGACTGATGGTGATTTTGTCAATTTTTAACTGTTTTAAATATTATTATTATTATTATTATTATTATTATTATTATTATTATTATTATTATTATTATTATTATTATTATTATTATTAAATAAGATCAGGTAAAGCTGATCTCAATGAAGATTTAGTTGTGTGCCTGCTGGTTCTGTTTTAAAAATAAAAATATTACAAGAATATTAAATACTAAATTGTCTGCATATTTCTCTGGACATTGCATTGCTTTAGACATTCTCTTTACATCAAAGTCATGTTCCCCATTTCTCCCCATTCTTCCCACTGGGGGGAAAAAGCAAGATATATTCAATGTCTTGATTTCTGAGTGTCCTGTTCTAGAGCTACCTGAGGACTACAGAGGAAGTCAAACAAGGTTAAGGCAGAGGCTCTCAGATGAAGGAAACTGAAGGGACAGCAGGGCAAACAAAAGTCCCTCTGATGAAGAGAGAAGCTGACAAGGAATGAATCCAAGGCAGAGACCCTCTGGCAAAGAGAAAAGTCAGAAACTCAGAACCTAAGATAACTCCCAAAAGGAATAGGAGGAAGTTTTCAAAGGAATACTCTAAAGCTTGTTATAGTCACTGTCAGCTCTATCCACACTCTACTAATTCATAATACATCCCTATCCTCTAAATTTAGCAGAATCAAACTTCTGCAGAAATGGGGATATAGAAATTATTGCGTACAACAAGTTTATGTCCTTTGGTTGTTGGTGCTCTTAATACAAAATAGATTGTGCTTCTCCTAATGAAACAGTCAGAGCCTTGACCTTCATTTTACATATTGAAAGATGTACATTCAGGGAATTGTGATACATATTCCTAAAAAGAGACATTCCTAGTGTCTAAACTAAATGTTTCCAACATCAAGTTAAATGTTTTTCTTTCTTAATAATGTATTATAAGCTGTATATGTTTTTAAGGTTATAGTTTTATGTTATAATTTTGATATATAAACAGCTATGAAACTTTTAGAAATAATTACCGGTATTATGACAATTTAGATGCATTTGCTCATAAACAAAGAAATTAATTTGATTTAGGATAGGGAACACGGCCTTAACAATAAGTTCACTGTCTCTGAATCGTTTTAAATCTTAATCAAAACCTCTCATAGTTAACATTTTAATTTTTCTAGGTAAGCATTTTCCTATTTTACAACTTAGCTGATTTATACTGAAAAAGACCATTTGGGGTTTTTGGTCTTACTTTGGTCTTACTTCTAAGCATTCTTATTGTTTCCAAGAGAGAGATGGAAAGACTCTGTACCATTATTTCTTAGAAATGTCAAAAAACAGAATAAGACATTCTGCATAATTCTTACTTGTGGCCATCTCGCCATCTCTGAACATCTTTATGATGTGATTTTTGCTGCTTTCTCAAATAATGTGTCATCTGCTTAAATATGGTATTTCAGAGTTTTTGTTGTTATCTAATGATAGTCAGCTACAGCAGCTTTTCATCTTTGTGCTTAATTGCTTTCACTTTCCCACTTTTCTAGCAAAAACATAATATTCTATATTTTAAGAAAACAATATGCATTGATATAATTGTTTTCTTCAACAAGATCTCTGGTCAAGTCAGTCTTTCTAAAACCCTCTCCTCTTCGTTGACATTTTTAAATAGCCAGATTTTACTGGCAGAAACTTTGGAATTCTTTTGGAACTGGTAAATCATCAGTTGGACATTTGTTGATTTTCTGTACACTAAACTACACAAGAAAAATAAAAATCTAAAACTAGTTGAGTTTTCATTTCAGCCAGTGTTACATCTGGTTTCATTAAGCTTTTTTTTAAAGTCGAACACATGGTATTTAACCAAGGAACTATTAAAACGTTTTAAAACAACGTACGTTGTCTTTATCTTTGGAATGGAAAAAAATACAAATGTGTGCTTTCTGTTTGAACAGATGATACGGTACATGAATCCGCTGAGCCATCCCGTGGTGAGAATGCAGCTCAGACCTTAAGGATATCCAGTCAGCCTTTTACAACTCTACTGTTCCTTCTAGCAATGCTTTTGACGTTATAGCACATATTCCAGCAAGCTGCCACAGTCAACTTAAGGATCTTGGAACATCAAAGATCCACTTAACTGCTCATCCCAGCAACGGGACTTTGTATTGGTTTGAAGATGTTGGTTTGTTCTCCTTCCCCCATCTTCTCCCTTTCTCTCCTCTGCAACCTGAACTTTGAGCAAAAATTGAAGAGGAATAACTAGACCTCTTCCTACTCCCAAGCTTTTCCCTGGCTTTCCTTGATCCCTTCTAAAATAAATGGACTCCAAATGAAAACGCCAAATTTCAATATTGACACTAGTGATTCTTACGTTCCTCTGCAGCCTCTCTTTAAGATACTGCCCAGTTAATTCACTGGGTCATCCGTATGTGGAGAAGGAAGAATAATAGGAGATGCAGTTAGTTGAAGAATAAGGAAGTTATTTGAAAAAAAAACCAAGAGAAGTTTTTTACTCTTTTCAATAAAATATTTATTTCTCCTTGTTCAGCACTGTAAGACGATCATGCAATGCACTGTGTCACCATGTCAGGACTGGAGGGAAGATATTAAGAATAGATATATCTCAGTGAACAGGCTCCTCAAAGAAAAGAGATATTATTTGTATGCAACTGCCTTGAAAGGTCCTTGACTGTAGAAGTTATGCTCCATAACAGAAACTCTGTCATAGGGGATAAAAAAGTGACTACTGACATGCAAGGTCAGGTTTAGGAAACTATGTCGGAGTGATAGTGCCTCTGTTATCACTCTAGGTGGATAGTGCACACCAGATTACTTTTGACTTAGATATCATGGTGCTACAACAATTTTTGTTCAAATGCAAAAAGGCATTTCTACACTTCTAAAATATCTTTTCTGTGTGAATAAAGTGACCTTTCCCAAGGCTGGCTTAGTAGCCAGTAGCCTTGGATCTAGCTCTGGATGATGATACATACCATGTTGATAACATCTCAGGGTGGAGCAAACCTGGTGAGTGATATAGAATCCTCAGTGTCATGGATAATTCTGCCTCCTTGAAAGTTTGGCAACTCTTGGAGTAAAATGCTGCCAGAAAGGAACCAGGACATTTGTCATAGAGGGTGGAGGGGAGTTCTGCATGGGAAGAACAGAGAACAGGAAGATTGCTTTGAACTGTGGGGTGAAAGTTGAGGGATTGATCTCATCTCTCTTCTTTTCCAACACAGTTGAAAATTAGTGTAAATGTCTTCATTGGCAGGAGATATAAACTAGACAGACTCCCAAAGACTTTTAACTATTTTGTTGCTTTTAAAAATCCACTAGAATAGAAAATACATTATCTAGATATACCTTATGCTGAAAATAATTATATATGCTTGTCCTATTTAAAGATGATAAAATGTGGTAATTTGTGACAAGATTATGGGGTGCTGATTGGTTGAAATCGGGGATGAATCCTTAGGCAGCTGTGATATAGCCTCATAAAATATTTACCAGGAAATGCCTTCTTTATAGTATTCCATTAACTTAGGCAGACCAAATTTAGATTTACTAAATAAGAGAGATCATGAAAGCTACTTAGCAAACTTAGTTTTCTCTCAAAATTAGTGGAAAAAAACTTTTTAAAAAATGAGGTTAGGCTTCACTGAATTTTCACAAGATAGCAAAGAAAGAGTTTAATACTAAATCATAATGCAAATGGACAACATTTTGAAAATGCCTTTTTGTATTATGAAAAGAAAGCAATTTTTTTCTTTTAAAAAAGTTGCAGTATTTCAGGATTCAAAAATAGCATAAATAAAATGGTAAATATAAGGCACTCTGGGCTTGCCTGATACCACAAAGTCTGGGCTGTATTTGAAAGCACAGAGATGTCTGATATAGCACACAAATTTAAAAAAATAGTTTCATAATCAACACAGAGGAATGGCACTGCTTTCCTCAGAGTGCAATCAATCAGTCTCCTCTCTTCAATGTGTATTTTTGGTGCATATGTAGGAAGGGATGACCTTGAAAATAGTGATCAAGGCAAAGACAATGTTGCACATGAATTAAGATCCTACAAGTGTAACCTACCAATTGCAAATATGAGTCGCACTGTTTGTTGTCCTAACAATGGCTATAGCTATTTTTTCATCATTTATCTACCAATAATAAAAGGCTGGACTCACTTGCCTCAATAGCACGCTTTCTAAACCACAGATTGTCACCACAGTGAATTCAAACTTTTGCTTTGCCACAGCGCCACTGCTAATCTAATGAATAAAAGCAACACTGTAATTACAGTTCAGATGCTAATTGCTACACTGCCTCAAATGCAGATTTGTCGGCAGTAGGTTTACAGGACCTTCGGATATTTGATGGCATCAGGCAATCTTATTAAGCAAGAAATGGCCATGTTCACAGGACATAGTGAGACATAAGACTTGATTAGTATAAATACTTCTGAACAGCACCGATACTAAACCATCCATTTGTATGTTCCATCTGAAAGCAAATCATAGCTCCTTATCAACGAAATTAGCCATAAGCAAGCCATAGTTTTATTCTATGGTATGTGCAGGCCATGAATTGTATCTCCTTGGAACTGATATTTAACAAGGTTTGCTGCTCATGCAGGAACACTGATGCTAACCAAGCCTTATGGTGCATTCATGCAAATGTGGCCAGTGCCTGAAAATTTTTTAATCTCTCCCACTTGGGTATGTGTGTGTGTGCGTGTTGTCCTGACGTCTTCAAAAAGATGCCAGTATGTACGTTTATAATAGCCCCTGTTCTCAAGCATGAAATATGAGATACAACATTTGGTCCCCCTCAATTCAGACAGTCTGCCCTGTGCCATCCAGTCCGAGTTTGCTGAGGGCTTTGCAAAAGGTAGCAGGGAAATAAGGATTGATCTGTGTGGTGGATACTGTGTATCCTTTAATAGACAACAAGGTAACATTTTGTGTTAGTTTAGAAATATTGTTTTGTACTGTACTTTCTCAGCTGGCGAAGGAAAGACAAGTTAAGACAAAAAAATGCTATGTTCTTTAAATTCTGTATTATTAGCAGCCTCTGTTGTACATAGTGTTTGATAATAAAGTATTAATTTGATTATTATGTCTTTTGTAAGTGAGAAGAAAATAGATTTTCGTGATATTAAAATTTAAATAAACAATTCACCTTCTGAATCTAACACCCAAATCCATCATGGCTATTGAAGATGTAGCCACCACAGGTCACTCCCCATACAGGATTCACTCATGAAAGCCATTCAGCCACTCTCAAGATTTCACAATGGCAGGACTTGGAATATTGTGGCATCTGATTATCGATGTTTTGTCTGTGGAGTTAATGGTCTACTGTTGGAAGCCCATGGTATTTTTCTTTGGGTGTTAGGTTTTCATTAGCATGTGGATTCACAACAGCTTGGATTTTATTCTTCTTTTATTGTGAGAACATTTTTTTTCTCTTTCCAATTGTTTAATCCTTTTTCATTTTCATGGGTGATTGTTTCAAAAAGGGGCCTTCCCAGCGACATATGTGATAATGTACAGTGACTTGATTCCTCACCCCATTGAACACCAAATGTAGCAGGGGTTATATGTAAATAATTTTCTTTCCTGTATAACCATTGGAGGAGAGAAATAATAGCTACCAAGGGAATATGTGTGTTTGGAGTTTTTTCACATATTTTATGAAAGCAGTGGCTGAATCAATTTTTGAAAATTTTGAAAAATAACCCTTTTCCATTTTTTCCATAAGTCCGGTTATGTAATTTTAATAATCTTCTTTCCATCTACTGTACATCAGATTCCTCTTTTTCTTCCCTGCTACCAAGTCCCCTTAAGTTCTCATTAAAAGTGGAGCAGTGAATAGGCTATTTCTATTTCCAACTTGCAGTGCCCTACTTTTGCCATGCCTTCACCCATGTTTTTCATATTTGAGACTAATCTCCCTGCCAAAATCTTACTGCCATTTTCTGAACAGTTTAATAGATGCTGGCATAGTGGAGGTTGCCCATGAGCCTACAGAATCTGCTTTCCATAGTTACCCTTGATGGCCTAAAGAAGCCACTGATTGTGTCCTTCTGGGTATGAAAGTCCAACTCAGTGTGGTCCTGTCCTTGTACTGCCCTGCTTTGCAGTTTCTTTGCACTTATTTATTGAGTGCTGTTTTTAAAATGCTTACATTATATGAATTTAACAAAAAGTGTTAAAAAAACAAACCCATAAAATCTGTATTTGTATATACACGTGTCCGTACAATTATATCTGAATAAAAAATTAAAGGTTTTCATCATTTTAATAAATTCTTTCAGGCTTCATTTTTATTTTCTGAATGATGCCTTTGGTTCAGGGGCTTTTTTTCCATCTTAAATATTTGTGGGGGAATGGAAGCCTGCAAGGAATATAACACTGAGCAGTTCTGCAATGCTTGGAATGCAATTTCTGCACAGATCAAATACCTGGAGCTGTCACCACCAGGATCCAGTCTGATCTATATTCTGAGTGCTGTGGTATTCTTGTTATTCCCCAGGCCAAGCTTAAGAATAAGTTGTTATTCACACCATCTTCTAGTCCAGGGGTGTCAAACTTGCGTTGTTATGGGAGCATCACGTGACGTATCATGGCTTTTTTCCCTTCGCTAAACTGGGTGTGGGCATGGCTGGTGTGTAATGCATCCAGCCCGTGTGCCGCGAGTTTGACAGCCCTGTTCTAGACTGTGACTATACAAATAATGCAATGTTTTAAATTGTGCTCTCCTATTTTTCTGATGAATGGCAATTTGATGCAGAATAAAGTAAGATGTTCTGCGAAGCGTGGACTGGGGTGACATAAAAGGACTGCAAACAGGGCAGACAATGCATGGCACCCTTTTCTCCAGTGTTCCCTCAGCTAAAATTCATGGACTAAATGAGTTTAAAAGACGGAGAAAAGTCTGTAGCAGAGCTGCAGACCTCCACAACTTTTTAAAATCAATTTGAAATGCTGACACCCCATTCCTTTAACACTCTGTATTGGAAATGGTGCACAACTTTGCAACAAGTTATCAATTGGTGTGCAGTATGCTTTATTATCTATTAATGGTAGTTTTGTTTTATCACTCCTGGAGCATTGAAATATCAACTCCTAATATACTCCTAAGAGTCATAGTGAAAAAGAGTCACCTCCCTGAACCAAGGTATATTTAAGGAAATCTGTCCTCACATTTCATCTTTGCTATGGTCAACTAACTAGACTGGGAGTCTTTACAAACATTAAGTGTCAACCCTGAAGCTGTCATGACTGAGGCCATTTTGAGATGTCAGTGCTGATACATTAGAGAAGAGGGATAGGGAGGGGGAATATAGATTGTTGGAATGTTGTAGTCAAAACAAAATACTTTCTCTTGGGAACCAAGGACATTCCTGCAGATTCTCGGAAGGAGGGAACTGGAGTCACCTAGCAACTGGACACTATCCTGATTGGACTATGTGACTGATTGTTTTGAGAAAGTGGCAAACTTACTTTTAATTGGCAAATATTTATATTGGCAAATGTTTTTGATCAATAAAGGTGATAGGTGCATAGAACATCTAAAATCCCTAAAACACGTAAAAATAAGGTGAAGGATAAAGAAACAAGTATCTAACTTGCCGCACATTTTCAAAGCCAAACTTTAATTACATTCATGTTAGCATTAACCTCCTTGAAAGCTTTTCATTAAATTTAATTGGTTAACAGGGTAGCAAGTGCTAATTATAACTTGCTTTGACTTCTCTTTACAAATTAGGAATGACAGCCATATATATATATATATATATATATATATATATGTGTGTGTGTGTGTGTGTGTGTGTGTGTGT